CCATCCACCCACACAGAAAATAACATGGGAGCTGGAGCAGACACTATTTGCCGCCCACCCAATATTCATTCTCTCTTGACTGACAGTACTCTGATTTTGTTGGCAAAGAAATGTTTCTACTTAATTTGAGAGAGAGTGAGAGAGCACAGCAAGAGGAGAGGCAGGGAGAGGGAGAAGCAGGCTCCCCACTAAGCAGGGAGCCTGACGCAGGGCTCGATCCCAGGACCCTGAGATCATGACCTGAGCTGAAGGCAGACGCTTAACTGACTGAGCCACCCAGGCGCCCCAAGAAATGTTTCTACTTAAAAATAGTCCCTTTCCCAGACTTCCTTGCAGCTGGGGGTCCTGGGACCCAGTTCTGACCAGTAAGAATGGAGTGCAGTGGCCAGCTGCAGCTTTGGGGACAAGCACTGTAGAGGGGCAGATGTGGCCGGTCTGCCTGTTTGGCCCTCTTCCGGACTTTCTCATGGATCTGTGCCAGAAGCTGCATCGGTCACCTCATGACCAAGAGGCAACACCGTGGGAATGAAGGGCGGATGCATGAAGGCAGGACTGCCGCTTCATGAAACTGGAGCTTCAAGGCCCAGAAGGGGCCCTCGCAATGTGTTCATGCAGTCATATGTTTTTGTAACATTTGCAAAAGGATATTTTTTTTTTAATATTTTATTTATTTATTTGAGAGACAGAATGAGATAGAGCATGAGAGGGGGGAGGGTCAGAAGGAGAAGCAGACTCCCTGCTCAGCAGGGAGCCTGATGCGGGACTCGATCCCGGGACTCCAGGATCATGACCTGAGCCGAAGGCAGTTGCTTAACCAACTGAGCCACCCAGGCACCCCATGCAAAAGGATATTTTAATTGCAAGCACTCACTACTGCTGTTTTTTTTCTACTCTGACTTCCCTTCTGCCTTTTCTTCCTACTCTGACTTCCCTTGTCACACTTCCTGTCATGTTGGTGACATGATGCTAGAATTTAGGACTTAGGTAAGGGGATGCTGAGTCCAGCTGACATTTAATGCGGGTTTCCTGGGATATATTCATAGGATTCCCACTCACTTTGGTACACAGCCAAACAATCACTAGCTGTCCTGGGGTAGGAACGGCTTCTGGAATAGGAATTCCCTGTGTTGTCAGAGTATTTATGAATAATCAGCATGCAAGAGAACTTGAAATACCCCCAAATCTTGCAGCTTATTTGTGGAAGAAACTTGAGGATGGTGTTCTCAAATTTAGCGACAATCCTAAAAATGTACACAGCATTACCAAAAACTAAACGTGAGGCCAGAGGATTTTCTAATCTTGATCAAATTTGACTAAATTTGATCAAATACGTTACAAGAAGGACTAATTTCCTTTTCTCTCTGTAGAAAACATTACGAACTCATTGTCATATACGTAGAGGCAATCAAAGGCATAAAACAAAAATAAAGAAAAAAGCCCCTATGAGTTGTGCAAAGCAGCTAATTAATAAAAACACTATTTTTCTATCCGTGGTATCTGTC